TGAGCGCTCTGCGGTCCTAGAGGAAAGCGAGTCTTAAACACCTGCAAGGTATTCTGATACCCAAACCCTTCCCGTCTCAGGCCCTGAGAGCAGGTGACTCAGAACATCAGACTCCCGGCTTCTGCCCTCCACTCCACCACCCAGAGGAGTGGCCATCCTGACACCACATTCTCCTCCCCGCACCAGGCCTCATCCTGGCTGGCAAGCTGGTCCAGCGTGACGAGAGCTCCAGAGCCCAAGACTGCTTTCGCCGGACTGCGGCTGGATGCATGGTGAGCGGTGCCCCCCTGCAGCCTGGAGCCTCAACAAGCACCAACAGGAGGTCCAGCAGTAAGGCCGGTGCCACGGCTGCACAGCACAGCCAGTCTCCTCTCGACCCCGGGCCCCGCCTGCAAGACACGCTCAAACTCTTCTCAGCCCTGATCCAAGCCTTTGCCCGTGCTATTTCCTCAGCCCAGAACACTCATGCGTATGTGCAAATAGGAATTATCCGAGAGTTTGGTTAAAATGCAGATTTCTAAGCCCTATCCGTAGAGTCTGGGCCAGAGGCTGGGCTACTTCTCCCTTGGTGGTTTTGGATGTCCCCTCCCTTCTGCTCTCCAGCCTGTGCAGGAAACAAAACAAAACAAAACAAAACACCACCTAGGTTCAAACTCATATCTTCTAGAACACAAGCCACCCAAATCACCACTGCTGCCAGTTTTCCTGCCAGAGATGCAGATAGAGGTGGAGAGGTTTCCAAGGAGACAGACCTCGGCTCTGCAGAAAGGTCCTTCTGTAGAAGGACTCTGAGAAGGGGGAAGGATGCAGATAAGGCGTGACTGAACCAGGGAAATGCATCCGCATCTTACTGCAAAAGCAAACTTCAGCCAGCCGAATCCACAGCTATCAGACAGGAGTAGACTGTGCTGACATCCGACCGCTTAGAGCTAAACTCCACTCCGTGCTCTTGAACCTATTAGACGAAAATGCCTCATTTTAGATAACTGCCAGTTGCTTGCTGAGCATAATTTCCTAGTAGTCCATTAATCCCTCTATTCAGAACGCCGGCAAGACAGCTGATGATAATTCTGCAGGAAGCGGGCATTGAACCAAAGCAGGAGGCAAACGCCTAGATATTTGGAAGTATCCTGGCTTCCGGGGTGGAGGGGTACCCCCAAATTAATTCATAACGCTAATTATAGTATTAGCTTTCATTCATTAAGCTCTTATAATGGGCCAGGTACCAGGCTAAGCATTCTCCCTTATTTATCTCAGTTGTTTTTTTTTTTAAACAATCTAGTAAGGTAGATATTATTTTCTTCTTTCTATAGAGGAAGAAATTGAGCCTCAGAAGTGATTACACAGTTAGTGGCAGAGTCAGGATTCAAATATAGGTGTGTGTGTCTGACCTACAGCCTGGGTTCCTAATCATACCTTACCATTTTGACTCAGCACATAACTATTTACTGGAGAAACCAGGATGAACAAGACTCATGTCTATAGAGTGAGGCCAAGGGATGTTAACAGCAGAAGAGACTGAAAAATAATCAGCAAAGGTGGACCAACCTTCAGAAAAAAGAAATGTCAGGTTGGAAAATAAAATTGGATTTTGTCAAACTCCTGCTTTTATAGAGAGCGGTGGTTCTCAAATTGTGGTCCCAAGACCAGAAGCAACAGCATCACCTGGGAACTTGTTAGAGATGCAAATTCTGGGGACCCACCTCAGACCCGCTGAATCGGAGACTCCAGGGCATAGGTCCAGGAAGCTATGTTTTAATAAACCTTCCAGGGGATTTTGATACACACTCAAGTTTTGAGACCCATAATCTAGAAAAATAAAATCAGCTCCACAAGGGAATTCGGAGCTCACGGGAGTAGTGCTTCTAAACTTAATGTGCACGAGAATCACCAGGACAATCTTAAAACGCAGATTTGGATGCGGCAGGTCTGGGGTGGGGCCTGAGAGTCTGCATTTCTGATCAGCTCCCAGGTGATGCTGATGCTGCAGGACCAGGGGCCACACTTGGAGTAGCAATGGGTCTAAGCCAGGGCGTTTCTGGCAATAACACAACCAGAATTGCTCTAGGTTTAAAAAAAGGGGGGGTGGGTGAGAAAGAACCATTGCCTTTGGGATAGGTTCAAACCCAAGCCTCTGGAAATGCTTTAGGAAAACAGGAAATCACGCACATCACATACCACTTTTTTCCCAAAGTTCCCACTCAGGTATAAGACCTCCTCTGAGCCCTTTAATTAAAATTGCAGCCCCTTCCCTGACTCTTCCTATCTCCCTTCTCTGCTTTGCTCTTCTCCTCAGCACTTGAACATCATCTGAACAGATGACCTATTTTACTAATTTACTTTGTTTACTGTCTGGCCTTCCCCATCTCCATCTCTCACCAGCATGTAAGCTCCATGAGGGCAGGGATTTTGTCTGTTTCATTCACTGTTATTTCCCCTGCGCCTAGAACAGTGCCCAGTGCATAGTACGTGCTCAATAAATATTAGTCGAGTAAATGAACACACATTTCTGCCCATTTTTTCTAGAAGCTCCCTCCCCACTCTTGGCGCTGCCCTCTGGAATTTCACCTGTTGCTGCTCTCATGCATGTACTTCAGTTTCACCAAAATTTATTTCTCTATAGGTGTGTCTTCCCTTAAACTCCTTGACAACGGGGTCTGTGTGTTACCCTTTTCTGTCCTTCACCTAACCCTTCCACCCAAAATTCTGCCAACCTTTGAAAACACATATAAACAGCCATCCATCCTCACTATAATTAATGCAAAAACCACAGAATTTCATTCATGGAAGAGTAAGGTCAAACTTCAGCTGGTGATATCGGTAATGCATGCTCCTAATTATATACTAGAGGGAGCGCTGAACTCCACTGCCATCACACAAGTACAACGTCAAAGTTCCTGAAGCAACCCAGAACTCTGCAGCTGTTACAGACTCTGTTTTCACCTTTTGTGCAGTTTTTCTAAGGGCTGAGGCAAATTAGAAAGATCAGTTGTTCCTTCCAACCACGGCTTGGTTTGAATCCTGCCTCTTAGAGTTCCAGGAGCTATATCTGCACAAGGTGGAGTGAGGAGGACTTTTGATAAAACATTGTCATCTTGGGCAAGGACATTTCACCTGTTCCTTCTAACCGCCCTGTGGCAGGGGGTGCTAATATCACGCCCACTTTGCAGGTAAGGAAACTGAGCCCTGGGATGACAGTCCCCTGCTCAAGGTCACACAGGGAGTCTGGCAATGCAGGTGGGACTCCAGCTCAGTTCTGGCTGCCTTAAAGCCTCTGCTTCTGGGACCCACCTCTCTCCCCCAGGTCCCCGTCCCTCCCCCAACCCTTGGCAGGGTCTGAGCCTCTGCTCATTACTTCTAGAACAGAGACAGCATGAGTGGACGCTATCTCATACTTCTGCCTCTAGCGCTGAAAATTAAAATGGCTCAGGGAGTATTCAGCCTTGCCGACTCCCGGCTGCATCCCTGTCACCTAATTACCTGACTTCAAAGCCTCCACTCGGCAGGTGTGAAGATGTGAAAGCTGCCGTTTCCCCTGAGAACATGGAGTGACTACACACAGATAAAACAGGCCCCAGAGCAGCTAGTGTACCTGGGAAATCAGACAGAGCTTCGAGTTGGACCCGAGGGCTTGGCTTAGTGTGTCTCAAAGTCAGAAAGATCAGGGGCTGCCATCCTGAGTACTCACCTGAGAGCTGGGTCTATAAAGGACCAAGGTGGGGATGTGGGCCTCCAAACACTAATGCTTGGTAGTTACTGCCCCCACCTCCTTCCCTTGTGCCATGGAGCTTAAGGCTCCTTTAGAGGCTGGAACTCATTAATCCTCCTCACAACTCCAGGAGGGAAGGGCTCAGCCTCACCTTTTGACTGAGACAACCAGGCTGGGGGAAGAGTAAGAACTCCTTCATGGGGCAGGGATGTGGGGAGGCCTGAAGGAATCCAAATGAGTTCCCAGCCTGGACTGCACAAGGAAGAGGAAGTCTAGAGGAGAGAGAAGGGTTCCTACTTTTCAACTTAGTGGCTCCTGTAAGGCGATCAGAGGCACACTCGTTTGTAACCCTTAGATACAGCTGAATGTTATTGACTGTTTTACAGTAATTGGACCAAAGCAGGTATTTAATACAAGTTTACAGAAGGAAAGAGGAAGGCCAGACAGAAAGGCATTTGTGACCTTTGACAGAGGACAAAACCCTAAGCCTGGCACTGGGCTATGTCCTTTGGTGCTGATTATTCAATGCTCACTGTCACATTGGGCAGGTGTGATGATTATTCCTTTCACGCAGATGAAAATACTAGCAACGGAAATGTGGGGCGACTCGCCCAATGTCATTGAGCTAGACAGCCACTTCTTAGCTGTGTGACCTCAGGTTTATCCTTGCTGGGAGTCAGCTTTCACATCTGTAAAATGGGAAGACTCAGAACCACCGCCCCCCACCCCGAGAGGCACCACAAGAAGAAAAAGTAAAGGGCAAAAGGCCTTTGCAAACTCTAACTCAGGGATCAGCAAACCATGGCTGAGTGGACAAAGCCAGCCACGGCATATCTTTGTACAAAGGCCTTTACTGGAATAAATAAATTTGTCACACTTATTTGTTTATATATTGTCTATGGCTGCTCTTGAGCAACACAGCAGAGCTGAGTGGTTGTAACAGGGAACCATTGGCCCACAAAGCCTAAAATATTTACTATCTGGTCGAGTAGAGAAAAAGTTTGCCAACCCCTGATTTCAGATGCTATGAAAATGCAAGGTCCCACTGTGCCTCTGCAGACAGCACTATGCCTTTCCAGCATCGCCCTCAGCTCTGGTTCTTATTCATAAGCTCTCTCCTTGACCCTTTACCCATGTGTAGAGGTTGATTTAAGACCTGTTTCTGAAAAAACAGAGAAGCAGCTCTCCTGAGAGCCAAGAAACCAAAATCCCATAAGCTATTTCAGAGCCCAGGATGGCTCCTGCCGACATCAGGCACCATGAAAGGGTGCTTCCAGGAACAGCCACTTACTTGCAGTTTTTACACTTGAGGCCAAAAAGCATCCCCTTCCCACAGACTGTGCATGTCTGAGACATCCAGTACTTCGTGGAAAACCTGTGGGAAAGAGACAGAAAGTGTTCAAGGCCAAGGTGATGGAGACTGACGGATCTCTAGAAGGATGACCACTGACAGGATAAGAACATGGGCCCTGGATTCCAGCCCCTCTTCTTCAGAGATAGGTGACTTAATCGAGTTGCTTAAACTTCAGTCTCTTTATCTGTAAAGTGGGAATAATAACAGTATTGACCTCATAGGTTGTTCAGAGGATTAAACAAGGTCATGCACAGTGCAAGGGCTTTACATAGTGCCTTGTAAACAGAAAGCGCTCACTGAATTGGGCTGTGACTGTATTGTTACCCAAACATTCATAACAGTCATTCAGTCGTTCAACAAACATTGCCTGCCTGGAGGTCTATGTGCCAAGTTCAGATTGGAGACAGATGGATAGGGCTAGAACTGTCCTCAGAGAACCACAAAGCAAGGTGGGGCCCCCCCGGTGGTCTATTCCCCATCACTGCTAGTTACATCGCCTGGGAAGCTTCAAGAAGGGGTGATCCCCCCAAAAGTGGAGACTGCAAATGTTAGTAGCAGAGAAGAGGGCCCTAAAGGGAAAGCCATTTTGGACATCAGCCCACCTCGCTCCCCAGCCACCACCACTTGCTGCAGACATAAGGCAGTGTAGAGGTTTCTGATATACAGCTAGGAACCAGTGGGAACAGAGATGCATTTGATTAACTTCTAGGGCCCCCTGCTGCTGCCAGGGTGCTTTCCTCTTCATGAGATACCAGGCAGCAGCAGGGCTGGCCCCAAGAAAAGTATTGAAGGTTGCCAGGTCAGACTTAATTCTCATTTTCAATTTTTGTCACCTTCCGCAGGAGTTGTAGCTAATCTCCACTGCCTCACAGTGTCAAAATGAAAATCAGAAGCGATTATGTAACTTGGTGCTTAAGAATTCTGAGGGCCAGACTGCATCCCTCTGCTGTACCACCTTGCCTGATTTAGGTCAGTCACTCTTCCAACAGAATGATCTGCAGCCCAAAGCCTCCATAACTAAGCAAATAGCAATATTCTGAAGAGACACTCTTGTGGCCAGGAAAACTCCCTTTCCACTTTTGGACTGGGGGTTGGTTAAGTCCCTTTCTGCCCCTTTCGCAGGATGAGCAAGAGTGGCAGGATCTATTTTGCAGGATTTGTCAGCTCTGGGGAATGGCAAACGGACTCGTGTTTCATCCACCAGCCAGCAGCATGGGAATCAAGAGTATGAGTGGCAGGTGGGAGTTCCTTCTCCTTTCCAGCCCTCTCCCATCCCTGGGATCAGCAATCCCTCTTCCAAGCTGTGGCTGAGGTGACTCTGAGGACAGCGGATGGTATGGGATTTTAATTTCATTTTTTCACCAAGGCTGGGATGAGTCTAGGTCTTTCCATCCTGGCATGGAGCCCAGAGAGAAACACAGGGTGAGACTGGAGAGTAACAAGGCATCCCAAGTGCCAGCTCCTCTAAGAAGATGTTCCTGATGCCCAAGATCATCAGATCATTTTCCTCCTCTTGGCACCAGCATTTGAATCTGAGGTACCACCAGGTCTAACATTAGGGTGCTAGAGTCTAGTGTCGTGGCTGAGCCATGGGTGTGGCCAATTGGGTGGAGCCAATCCAGGGGTGTGGCCAATCCAGGGGTGGAGCTGAGCTAGGGGTGTGGCCAATCCAGAGGTGAAGCTGAGCCAGGGAGCAGCCTGTAAGCAAACAAAACAAGGCCCTTCTTTTTGATGCCTTTCCCTCTGCATCTCACCGCCTGACCACTGACGTGTCTATCGTGTATTTCTCACGACTTCCTCCACCGTTTTCTCATTTGAGTCTTAACAACTATCCTGTCAACATATTTCTTTCAAAAACTGTTGACGAGATGCCATTCCGGGAGAATGTGCTCATTCCTGCCTCACCCCGGGTTATGGTGACGTGTCTGCCCCTGGAATTGCCTCCCCCACTTATAGCCCTGATCCCCACCACCACCGTACTGTCATGGTCTGTTAACTGTCTATCCCTCCACTAGACCTCAAGTTTCCCAAGGTTGAAAGCCTTACGTCGTGTTCAGTGCTGCAGCCCCGGTACAGATATTCTCTATAAATACTAGTGGAAAGAAACCATGAATGAGTGAGCTCTCTGCTGGTCACAGAGGCCTCGTGCGAAGGAAGCTCTCAGCAGAGGTGTCAAAAGAACACAAAATGCTGGGGTTAATTAGCTTGTAGGTTCATCACTTAATCATTCAGGGACTCAGTTTCCCTATCTGTCAAATGGACATGACCACACTTGTGCTACTTACCCCACTGAGTTTGTGAACAGATTGTGAGGATAATGAGATAAAATGTGGAAAGTTAACTTCGTATAAGGGATGACTTAGTAGATAGAAATCTTCCTCCTGAAAAGGGCAGGTGTACTCCTGGAGAGGTTGTCCCGGGCACCCAACAGGGCTGGAGCCCTGGACTGACCTATGCTTCAGCAGAAAGTGAGCATCTCTGACTTCAGCCTGCAATCTTGTCTTCTGGGTGGGGAGACCCAAAATTAGGACAAGCATTTGTCTTAATATTGATACCATTTACTGAGTGGTTATTATGTGCCAGGCCCTTTGCTTAGCACTTTAATATATTATCTCATTTAATCCTCATGACCACCCTATGAGTAGTCAGAAATATCTGATGAGAAAATTGAGTCTCAGAGAGGTTAAGTAACTTCCTCAGGGTTGCAAAGCTTTACTATCTGGGATTGGAATACAGGCCAGTCTGACTCCAAAGCCCTGGCTTTTAAACAGTAGGTGTTAAGTTTATGAGCCAGGTGAACAAGAAGCAGACATCTCAGTCCCTTGCCACATCGAGGTTCAGCCTGGTGGAGGAGAGAAGAGCATGGTGATATCGGAGCTGGGGCAAAACAGCCTGCCAGCCTTTCCCCATGCTGGGGCCAGAGGTCCCAGCCCTCCCTGTGCTGGGAGGTGGGCCCCGGTGCAGCCAGGAATCCAGCCTACCTGTGCTTGATGGAGTTGCCGAGGTCTCTGCGAGGGATCTGTGGGGACCAGCGTGGCACTGACAGTGTGTCTGCAGGGAGAGAAGAGAGGAGGAGAAGGTCCTGTTACACAGAGAATCGGAAGTGGGGGTGGGCTCCCACCAAACCCCAGAAGGAAGAGGGAGGCTCGCTGGCCTCAGGAAGGACACTGGCCGCCATCACTTGCTAAACCAAAGCCAAATGGAAAACTGGTTTAGCTTGTGTTACCTTAACTCACGCAAGGTCCCCCGTGTGGGGCAGTGCCTGGAAAAAAAACAGCTGGGGGAAGAATAAAACTGAGCATGGCTCCCATTTACCAAGTGCTTACTGTGTGCCAGGCATGTGCCATGTGACTCACATGCCTGAGCTCGTTACATCCTCAAAACAAGGTTCGGGATTGTTAGCAACCTTCCGGGTGAGGAAGCTGAGGCTTGGAGAGAGGAAGTCGTGTGCTCAAGATCATACACCTTGTAGATCACACAGAAGCTGTGAATCCAGGCTTAAGGGACCTAGAACACGTGCCTGTGTATGCAAAGTTCTAACTTAGCAGATTCCAAATGCCAGTTGTACAAGTATCACTTTCCTAATTTTTGTCATGCCCCTGTACAACCCATAAAATTATCTACTTAATATTTTAGGTTGACTTGTTTGTTTAAACACATTTATTCTCAAAGCAACTCTATATGGAAAACCAATATCACTTTCTGTATAAGTAACTATTTAAAATACGTCTAACTATGTACCACCTAAACTCATGCTGGAATAAGTGGATGGATTGATGAATGGATGATTGAGTGGGTAGGTGGGTGGATGGGTGGGTGGACGGATGGATGGATGAATGTCTGGATAGGTGCATGGATGGACAGATGAGTCAGTAGATAGACAGACGGGGAGGTGGGTGGATGGATGGATGGATGGATGGACAGCTAGATGAATGGATAAATTGATGGATGAATGGGAATGAGGAAGAAACAATAAATCACACAGACTTCAGGCTGGGTGCCTATGCCCATCTGGTCTTTTCTTTCACGCCTCAGGCTATATCCCAGCGACCCACACTATCACTCCACCACTGACTGAGTTCCAGGACTTCTTCCACAGCCTCTGGGCACCAGCCCCCACCTTCACGCCACTGCCTGGTTGCCCGCATCACCCTCCTCGCAGACCTCACGGGCCCCAGAGAGATGTGAAACAACAGCAGAAATGGACCGGTGCGGCCTGTGAAACCTCCACCAGCTAGAGGAGAGGAGAAGGAAGTGGCTGACCCACACGCCAGCTCTCATTTCTCAGGCCAGATGGATGGAGCCAGATCCCTGTCCTCAGAGCTGCAAATGCACGCCTCATTTTTCACAGCAGTTGTTATGGAGTGGCACGCTCACTGGGGAGCTGGGCATGTCTGCACCGATCAGGGAGCATTTAACCCTAATCCATTCACTCCTCTCTTCTGTCTAATGACACTGTCAACAGCCATCTGAAAGCTGTTTCCAGAAACCCCAATTCTGCCCTTGTAAAGCTGGGACCATTTCTGGAAGAGCTAATGATTTCCCAAGCCCCAAAGGCCAGAGAAAGAGGGAGATAGCATGATATATCACTCAGAAACAGAGCCAGTGGAATTTCCTCTAGTTTAACTAAAAACTAAATGTCATCAAGTCCAAGCCCATTTTATTACTTGTTTTGGCTTCTGAGAGGAGCAAAAAAGACAAGAAAGAAAGACAATTTTAAAAGAGAGAGAGAGAGAGAGAGCAGGGGATTGAAGTCAGATTTGTAAGGAAGGATGCTGCTACCTGCTAAGTCCTTAAGATGCTTTCTCCAGTGCCAGGGATGGGTAGAGGCGGAATGGCTATGCTGGAGAGGAAGGGTTAGCTCAGATACACAGCCTCCTCATGGGGAATCTGCAAAGTGAGGAGTGCCAAAGGGGTTTCATCTCATGGGATGTTAGTAGTGGCTGCCTAGGAAAGTGTGTTGAGAAGGATTCTGAGGCTCAAGAGGAAAGAGCATTGAGACTGATTAGTAACCTCTGCCATGGGTGAAGAATAAGGCGGTACCAACAAGTCTCCATATTTTTGCCACTCCTACAAGGACAGGGACCACATCTTCATCTTTGCATCACTGCCTCATAGCACAGCAAGCACCTGGGACAAAGTAAGTACGTAACACATGTTTGCTGAATCTGAGATTCTTATCATAGAAACAGTGAATTTACTGAGCACTCAATATGTGGTAGGCATAATTCTGTGCAGTTTATACGCAGAAGCTTTGCCTCTATGCAGTCGGTGTTCTCATTATTCCCATTGCACAAAGGTAGACACAGGAGCTCAAAGAGGTGCAGTGACTAGCTAAAGGTCACACAGCCGGGCACTGGTAGATCCTCAAGGAGTAACTCTGCACTTGCTCCCGAGCCTTCCAAAAGCTCCTATATCAGCATCTTCAATCAGGGGCACTTTTGCCCGGGGGAACATTTGGCATTGTTTGGAGATACTGCCAAATAATTGGGGCGGTGATGTGGGGATGCTACTGGCATCTAATGTGTAGAGACCAGGGATGCTACTCAACATTCCACAATACACAAGACACATCCCCACGCCAAAGAACTAACTAGACCCGGGATTCCCTGGTGGCGCAGTGGTTGGGAGTCCTCCTGCCGATGCAGGGGACACGGGTTCATGCCCCGGTCTGGGAAGATCCCACATGCCGCGGAGCGGCTGGGCCCGTGAGCCATGGCTGCTGAGCCTGCGCGTCCGGAGCCTGTGCTCCGCAACGGGAGAGGCCACAGCAGTGAGAGGCCCCCGCACTGCAAAAAAAAAAAAAAAAGAACTAACTAGACCCAAATGGCAATAGTGCCAAGGCTGAGAAACCCTGATCGAGATGTTTTTCACTTCTCTAGCCATCTCCCCACCCCCTCCCTCTCCCCACAATCTTGAGATGGTACTTCTGAAGCTCAACTCAGTAGAGAACAAATCCTCTTTTATTATAAGCACATCTCACTGTTAGATTCATATCCTAGTTGTCCTCATTCTCAATTACAGCACCCTCTTGAAAAAGTAGATGTAATTAAGTTTGGTAGTTTGGTTTCATTTCCCAATATCTGGTTGAAGGAGCAAATTCCGTCAGTTACATTCATCGGCTGTGACAACATTAGTCTCCAGCAATAATAACCTCCACACGGCTTCGTCCCTGGGTGTGCAGATCTGAACTCTGAGATCTTCTCTTTACTTTCTTCGTTTGGATTTCCTTAAACTTGCCAATGCAAGCCTTAAAGCGAAGGAAAACTGTTTAAAGGGAAAATCTATGAAAATTCAGGCCTTATCACAACAGAGAAGGCAAACAGCACTTATAGCAATTAAACTGATATGGAAACTTCTGTTTAACAATCAAAGTGCCTATTAAGATGTCTCCATAGCTGAACAAAAGCTTCTTTTCTACTCTAATTTTCTGATAACAAGACACGCAGACACGGAGTCAGAATTATGACTATCCCTGGTGCCTTTGGTTCCAGGGATAGAATAATAGACATTTCTTCCCAGATATTTTCATTTGCAGTGCATGGCAAGGGAGAGGGCTGGAGAGAAGGAGTGCTTTTCTTCCCTCCTTTAGGTCCCACTGTTGATGCCCTCTCAAAAGTGCCTCTGTATAACAGGAGGGGAGAAACCAGGAGGCTTGGTCTTTGACAGCTTGGTAGCCAGATAGTAAAACAGAAGCCACGATAGAAGAAACCAGTATTAATAAAGCATCATGGTAGGTTGAGCCATGATGAAATGAAAAACTCAGGCTCTGACCTGGTGAGTTTGAACTCAGGCTAACAGAGTTCGGCATGGGGAAAACTCTTGAAAACATTTAACACAGAGACATCACGTAAAAATGGGTGATGATAAAGCAAAGGAAAAGGAGGGAAAAGAAGAGGAAGAAAGAAATAAGAATAATGGTATGAATTTTAAAAATGAGAAATAAGAAAAATAATAAATATGTTTTGTGTTGAGTGTTACCATGTGCCAAGCACTATTGCCAAATAAGCCCTTTACATATATTATCTCATTTCATCCATACACTGCATGTGTGTGCACATGTGATGTATCACCTGTTATCATCGGTGCCACAGCACCAGCAAGGAAATCGAGAAGTTATACCATTTGCCCAAGGTCACACAGCAAGTAGAGCCCAGGACTGGGTTTTTTAAATTCAGGTCACATAGCTGGGGCTCAATAAACGACAGCCAATTTCATCCCCATTTCACAGATGGGAATACTGAGGCTTAGAAGCAATAAGCAACTGTCTATAGCTAAAAAGTGACTGAGTGGTGATCTGAACCTCAGAGAAGAACAAACTGGATGCTTCTAGTCCAGACTGCTCTCCAGATACACGGAGTTCAACCCATCCTGTATTGTCTGTGCCTCCTACCTCTGTCTGGGGAAAGCAAAGGAAACAATGAGAACCAGACCTTTTAAGCTCAGAAAAGGGCCTCAGAGGCCCAGAAAGCAATGTCACAGTATGTTGTTTATTCCTACTATCATACCCGCCACCCCCAAAGATGTCCATCCTAATCCCTGGGCCCCATAAAATATATGACTTAACAGGCAAAAAGAGATTTTGCAGATGTGATTGAGTTAAGGATCTTGAAACGAGAGATTAGTCCGGATTAGCCAGGTAGGGCTGATGTAATCATAAGTGAAAGAGGGAGGCGGGAGGGTCAGAGTCAGAGAAGGAGATGTGATGTTCGCTGGCTCTGAGGATGGAAAGGGGCCAAGTGCCAAGGGATGCGGCAGCCTCTGGAAGCTAGAAAAGGCAACAGAACAGAGTTTCCCCTGGAGCCTCCAGAAGGAAACAGCCCTGCAGACACCTGAACTTTAGCCCTGAGACTGTTTTTGGACTCCTGACCTCCAGAACTGTAAGATAATACATGTATTTTCTTGTAAGCCATTGAGTTTTGGTAATTTGTTACAGCAGCCGTAGGAAGCTGAGACAGCTCTACTGTGTGCCAGGTACGGAACTGGGGGTGGGTATATGGCAAACAAGATAGTCAAGTTTTCTGAGCTTAGAGTCTACAGGGGGAGACATA